CTCCCTGCCCCTCTCCCGATCCCTCTCCAGGCGTCTCCGCTGTGGATCCGGAGTGGATTCCTCTGCTGCTGCCCCAGTACTGCCATTTCGAGAAGCCCCTGGAGACGCCGCCCCCCCGCTTCTGTCCCGAGAGCGGCCGGGTCCGATGTTGGCGCGAGAGCACCTTCTGTGAGTGACCCGACTTCGTCCGCGCCCCGCGCGCTCGCCCCGCGGCCCCGCGTCGCTAACCGCGCGCCGTCTTTGCTCGCAGACCGAGTGGGCTGGCGGCTGAGTGCCATCCAGGTGGATTACCCAGAAGGCCTCGAACGCTACAAACTCTTCGCCAGGTTCCTGCTGGAAGGACAGGTAGGCGGCACGCCGAGCGCCACGCCCACACCTCCCTCCCTGCAGCGTTTGCCCTGACCGTGATCCTGTCGTGGAATTTTATCAAAGAAGAGCCAGACGAGGCGTTCTCATTCCCTCAGTAAGGTCTTTATTCATATTGCAATATGGGAAAAAGCCATCACCCATCTGTGCAGAGAAGTGAAAGCTGATTCAAAAGCAAGCAGGGAGAGCCCTTGTTTTATATCTTTTTTTAAGCTGATGCAACACTTCAAGGACAGGTGAAGCAGTAATTTTCCATTCCTTATAGGTTTTTGCTTTAAGCAAAGATGAGCAGTTAGTCAAATAGTTTCTCATACTCCCTTCTCCAAGCAGCAGAGATAAACATGATTAAAACATCCCGTGCCCTTGACGAGCTGGGTGCTATCACACTTGGTTCTAAGTATCCAGCTCCTTCTGCAGCACCGCTCTGTCCGTAAACAACATTTGTAGGATAAAACACTTTTTCTCAGTAACTTTCCATTACAATCCAGAGAGACCGACGCGCAGCGCAGAGGGATTTCGAAATGGGACCAACCTGCGCTGCCAGGGCAGCCGGGGTCTTTAAAAAATGGCTGGACGAGCTCTTTGCGTGATTTTAAAAGGGGTTTAACACACAACAGCCACAGGACCAGAATTTCCAACCTCATTCTCCGGATCTCAAATTCATCTGTTCTGAGCTCTGGGGTTCCCGGTGCAGTAAGAATCGTGCAGGTTGATGTGCCTGGTCAACAGGTCTTATGGCTGTGGGCAAAGAGCTGGTCTGAATGCTTCTGCTTTTTTATAGATGTATTTTGTAAAGGCCGAATAGAGTGGCAGTCGAGACTGTTGTGTTGCATTGCTTATGGTCACGGTTTGCTCTTTGAGAACTGTAATGGAGAGCACGGAGATGAAGGGATTCTGGGTCCTGTGAAAGGAGAAGAGCGCTTCCTCGTTTCCTCTCCTTTTCCTGCAGGTCTGTCCCAAGCTGCGCTCCTACTCGAAGTGCCTGCTGTCCAGCCCGTCCACCATGCTGAAGACCTGGGCGAAGTGAGTGTGGGGCCTCTGGCTGCCCAGCTCTGGCCTTCGGTGCCAGTGCAAGAGAAGGGGATCGTTCTCTCTGGGTGCCCCTGGGGGTCCGGGCTGCTGTGGGAACATGCAGGAGGGGGTGTGTCTTGCACCCCAGCCCGTGAGGGTTTTAAAGGGGGAGCTGCAATCCCAATTTGTCAAACCCGTTATTAGATCTTGATAACAAAATAAATGAATTCACGGTGTAGAGCAAATTTACAAATTTAGAATTAAGCACAAAATTGTGAGCTTTGCGAAAGTATTGTGAGTCACCATGTTGTTGCAAACCCCTGGTCTCTCCACAGTATAGAGAGAGAGCTCCCAAAGAATTGTGTTGTGATGTGGCCCTTCCTGCTCGCTAGTCACTGTAATGACTGATGTCATGAGATGTATAGGTTGTGCAGCGGATATTTCACTGCAGAAAGTTTTCAATGCAATCTGCAGGCAGAGTTAACGAGCAAGTAATATTTGTCAGTAAAACCGTCTGGAAGCTGAGAGCAACATTTCTACTGGATTAAAAGAGCCGTGTTCACCAGCCTGCTTGTTTACAGTGTAACAGGGCCACAACACATCACTGGAAGCCTCGTTGCCTCGTTCAGAATCACAGAACATGGCGCTGTGTGTGCCTGGAAACTTCATCTACTTAGTGATGTAAATAGGAGGTTTTGCAAGTTACTGTGTACACTTTACTTTTACTGTGGATTGAAATGCACTCATCAGTGCTGATTCTTTCTTAGCCCGAAATATAAAAAGAGCGCCGCATCTCCCCTTTAAAGAAGGAAACTCCTCGGTACCCGCCGCAGGGCTCCTAGGCCCAGCTGGGTGTCCCGGGATCAGGAGTGTGAGCGCTGGGGTTCCCCATCCTGGTCCCGGGAGCCCCCACACCTGCTGGGCCTCATTCCAGCTGAGCTCCATTGCCTCGTTGAAGCCTCGATTGAATCGATACGCTGCCCGATTGTAACTTTTGCACAAGTATAGTTTTTCCACTTGAGAGCTTGGGATTTGAAAAGGCTGCTGCCAGTAGGTTTAAAAACTGAAAACAGCCACACAGCTCAAATCAATCCTGTGATGAAATCGATTATAGATTCAGTGGTGTGGCTGAAACGAGACCCGACAGGTGGGTGTCCACTACCAGGGCTGGGAGCCCGTGTGCAAGAGGCTGGTCTCGTCTTGGCCCAGGCCCGTGGGGTGTTTCTAAAGGAAACAGGGCGCAGAGAGCCTGGTCAAAAGGGGGGAAGGACTCGCAGACGTCGGCCGTCCATGCCTCGTTATCTAATTAGAAGGATCTGCCCTCCCTTCCCCCCCGCAGGCTGCAGCCCAGGACGGAGGCCCTGCTGGGGGCGCTGGTCTCCGAAAAGGCGGACTGCCGCGACGCCCTGCTCGCCGCCTGGAGGAGGAACCAGAAATGTGAGTCCGGCTCCAGCCCAGCCGCCCCCCCGGGGCCCGTCCCGTTTCTGCCCGCGGGGTGCCAGGTGGTTAGGATGAGGTCCGTCAGCCCACTCGGACACCAGGACCCTGAAGGCTGCTCTGGGGGTGGGGGGGAGACAAACCGGGTGAAGATCTGTAGAAGCGCACGGCACACACTCCGGGGTGTTCCAGTCACTGGCGCCCCACTGCCAGGCTTGAGGACCGCCATACAGCAAGGCCTTCTCTGTCTCTTTAATACTGAAGACCTCTGTGAGGAGTTATACTGGCTCAGTTAAAAGATCAGCTAATGATCAGCTCAGTGATCAAAGCACTGCAGACCTCCGAGATGAGAGCTGCGCCCCAGTGTTTAAAACACTGGACGTGCTCTCACGGCGCCCTCTGGTGGATGGTGGCGGTGTGCACATGGTCCCGTTTGTGTACCATGTTCCGACGAGCGCAGCTTCGACAGATGTTTTCAATGGGCTGTATTATCTAAGTTGATGAAATCTGCGTTTCGTTTGTTGTTAAAGCTATGAACGTGTCCACCCAAGAAGCCTTTTTTAAAACAGAATATATCTTTCTGATGGGTTGATGCTCATAGTTTAGTCCTCATAGACAGCGCTCTTCACCTCTGGTTTCCAGATCTGCTGTCGCCCTACTGCCAGTGGCTCCCTGAGGCCATGCACCAGGACGTCGCCAAGAGCTGGCCCCCACTGTGACCAGCGCCAGACATCCAGAGGCCTGGTCATCGCCCCCGCGCACCGCTTGTCCCTGTCCCTGCTGCTGGCCTCCCCGATCTTGACCTCTGCCCTCTGCCCTCTGCCCTCTGCCCTCTGCCCTCTGCCCTCTGCCGGAGCGCACACCCCCTGCTGGCGAGGAAACCCGAACGGGTCAGAACCCGCTGGCCCCGCAGGGCTGGGGCGGATCCCGAATCCCAGATGGTCCAGCAGGCCCGGCGGTGCTGTCACGCCCTGGACAAGCTGGTCATTGTTAGAACAGGGGCAGGAAGCCAGTTCCACCGCTTGGCCACTTCATATAGAGCCACTTGGTTTTTTTCAAACACAAACAAACAGATACTTCGAAATCTGACTTTCGGCGACGGGAATGTTCAGGATTCGGGCAGCCGGGCGGCTCTCCGTGAGGAGCGGCCAGGTGCCCAACTCCGGATCACCAGCAGCTGCCCTGCGGACCTGAAATGAGAGACCGGCCTGGGATCCTGCGAGATGAAGATCAAGGCTACAGCGTGGAGCAGGCCATGTGGTTTGTGTGGTGGCAGAGGTGCGTTTCAGGGCTGTGGTGTGCCAACTGCACACAGCAGGACTTGCCAAGTGTGACTTAAATACTCTTCATGTACCCACCACGGGTCTTTGTAAGACCCTCCTTCCTATATGTACAGTTTAACATTATCATGTTTTAATAAAGAGGTTGGATAGTAGTGGTGAAGCTCTTTTAAACATTTAACGGTGTGGGGTAACTTCAGCACTTCAGTTTTTATCTGGCTATTGTTATTTTCAGGCACCTCGCAGGATGTCAAAGTACTTCAGGTAGAAGAGGGTAACCGCCACACCCCTCCCACTGCACACAGATCAGGGGGACAGGAGCAATGTGCCCTCTAAGCTGTGCGCACACATGGTGCCCATAGGAAATTAAAAAATTAAATTCCAAGAAGAAAAATGATAATAAAGCCAACACAGTCGTCAATTGAAAAAGTGACCACATGAGACTGGCTGCGATAGTAATGTGTGCATCATTATTGCTTCAGTACTCGAGAACCGAGATCAATGCTCTCGTAGTCTCGAACCTCCCTGCTCACACTCGCTCCACACTCAGTCTCTATGCCTGGACTTGTTGAATCGCTGTCCCGGTCTGTTGGTGATAAGAGGATGACTACATGAACAAAAAAATATTTTGGGTTTACAATCTTACATACACTCAATTTAGGACGCACAAGTGTCTGTCACTGGGGGAAAAAAATGTGCACAACTTGAATTTTTTTGCACACGCAGGCCATTAAAAATTAGAGGGCACAGTGGACAGGAGAGAGACTCCAGGTGTCAGTTGAATTCAGATGTGGACACCCCTTATAGTGATTTCAAAGCACTGGATTCAGTGGCTGGGTGGGGCGAGAGATGAACTGGCAAAATGCGGTAAAACCGAGAGCTGGAGATGCCGGGGATTGAACCCGGGGCCTCATACATGCAAAGCATGCGCTCTACCACTGAGCTACATCCCCACCTTCGGAATAAGAGTTGACGGTGTCCCTGTTTTTTTTTTAGTTGTGTGCCTTCGGGCTAGTAGGGAATAAAGAATATAAAAATATTTGTTCTTTTGCTGGCAGTAAGGCGCTTGCTTCTAACCGAGAAATAGCAGGTTTTTTAATAGAATAGAAAATAAAATGTTGCACCTCCCCGTCGGGGAATCGAACCCCGGTCTCCCGCGTGACAGGCGGGGATACTCACCACTATACTAACGAGGAGCGAGCTGGAGGCTGCAACCTGCCGCAAGCTCTTTAAACACAGACCCAGCGATGACGTAAGTCACTTCTCCGGCCGCGATGGGACCACTAACATTCGGGTGTGTGACACAGACCTGGGCGGCCTGTCCTGTTTGTTTAGTCGTAAAAGTAGCGCGACCGAAGGAGAAATGTGTGAAGGAAAAGGCGAGGTCTATGCTTTGTTGGTTTCTGTGTGAACAAACGAAAAATCTCCAATATTTTTCTGGGCGGTTTTTCACCTTTCGAAAGGAAAGCGAAATGCTTGATTTTAACGTGCGGTTAGTTGTTTTTACCCGTGACTTGACGAGATTCGGTATGGTATATCCCCTATAGCTGAGTTTTTAACTGTATCTTTGATATCCGCTTCGAAAGACGAGCTAGCAGCTGTGGGGATGTAGCTCAGTGGTAGAGCGCATGCTTTGCATGTATGAGGCCCCGGGTTCAATCCCCGGCATCTCCAAGCAATTCTTTTTCTTAACAATTTATAACATCGAAAATCATACTGCCGTTATCATCATCTCAAATCTGTCTGCAAAAACGTGTCTTTAATCTCTTATTAAAGCCAAAGACAGGGAGCATTAGTTTTATATTCAGCTTTTTGTTTTTAGAATCCGTCCTAAAAATCCAATTTCTACAAATTTCAGAAGACGAAAAGAAATAGCATGTTGCATATTTTGTATTATAACTACTGATTACACTTTCCACATCAACACTAATAAGCTTTACTTCATTCGGCACCTTTTAAGACCGGATTCGTTTCAAAGCGGGCTACGATAGAATAAAGGGCATTATTTCAAGCACAATGTTTTTAAATGTTGTGAAAATAAAAAAAATCAATTATTCCGCCAGATGTGATTTACATATTAAAATATACACGTTTTAGACTTTTACAAAAGTTTATGCACTTTCCCTTGACTGTAGTTTTTATCTGTAGTTTAGCTGCAAAGCAGCGAGGGGTTAAATTGCTTCTATTATCTGCATAGCCCCAGCCTGACATGCGCGATGGCGATTCTCGGGGGCGTCTCCCACATGACCGCCTGCCGGCGCCGTTCTGGACCAATCAGAGGCCTGTTGCTACGCTCTGCCTGTCACCTGTTTATCTGCCACCGGGGGCCTCATCCACAGCAGGTCTGTCCTGTTACGAGCCTGTATGAAGTTGAACTTCACTCAAGAGGGGTGGTCCAGTAAGAGCCTGTGTAAAATTCACCATTTGCCAAAAGGGTGGGTTTAGTGTATATTTCTGCTTCAGTGGGGAGTTCTGAGTCACCTGGGTGTGGATATTTGTTTTTTTTTTCTGATCTGTGATGTCATGTAACCATATTGATGACAGTCCTGCCCTCGAAATGACTCAGCGTTTCCTGAAAACTATAGCATTACATACTAAACTTGTTTTTTTCTGGGTCGCAACTCTCTTGTTCCGAAATATCTTTAAAATATAAATTTAAAAATTCCCATCAGTACGTTGCTGAAACCTAGATGCCTGTGAGTTTTAAAACGTGGGCTCAGTAACGATTTGCTAGTTGTGAAGAAGCTTGTCTAAATGAGACATACATTCACATTACATATACCCCATTCGCTCTCTAAATAAACAAAAAAATGTTTTTTTTTCCCCCAAAAGTGTTCAGTTGACAGGATTATCCGAGCAAACTAGTTTCCGCGTTTACGGAAGTATTGAAGGATTTTAAGAGAAAATTCGCGAGAAACGGATTCGTTTCCATTTTTATGGACATTAAAACCAGTCCTTTTAAATAAAAATTATTCACCCTATGTATATTTTTATTACGTGATTAAAATATGTTTTAAAACTGTATTATTCATGCAGTCCAGGCTTTATTTGTTGTACCATGTGTGTCTTAATTCGATAATTATATAAATATAATTAAATTATATAAATAGCTCGTCTTATTATTGTTATCAAGTCGGGGCAGAGTCTGAGCACGGTTGCTAGGCAACCCTAAATGGGTCAGCAGAGAATTAACAGGCCGGCTGTTTCCAATACAGTATTTCCTTGTTCCTCCTGCTTAAAAATAAAGGCGAACAGATTTTAAATGCCTTAAGTAAACTATTTACTGTCTTATTAATATATATTTTTATCCTGTTTACTAATTAATAAGGTTCTTACCGCCTCTGTATTTCTGTAATTTTACTACAGCTACCAAGAATAATTTTGCTAAGACAAATGTGTCTCTGTGGCCGAATAAAACAGGGAATGAAACGCTTTAAAATTAAACGAGCAAGTTGTCAATATCTTGTGTGTATCCCTTCGTTAGGCGATTTCTGTATGTCACTAAAAATACGTTTTAATGTGACTGACCAGTGACCTCAGGAAAAGCATTGTTACATTTGTCTAAATTGTGAGGCACTGCGTGATGACTTGCAGAGTTTTAAGAGTCAAAACTGTCCTCGTTCACATGTGAGGGGTGATCCAAACATTTCTGTCAGGACACCTGCACTTAACAACACCTGGTAGGTTCTGTCTGTGCTCTAATGGTATATTTTATCAAGTGCCCCCTTTTTTCTGTTCTCAATGGACTTCTCTGGTATCATATTATTATTATTATTATTATTATTATTATTATTAGAACACGAAGCCAAAACTGCGTTTATAGAGTGTGTTCACTAGTTAACGTGTTTCTCGCCATTGCTTTATGTTGTTTGATTCTTTTGTTTGCACAGCAAACTAAAGCCGATACACCCCACCCATTCCTTGTTATTTTTCTAGAAAAATAAAACATTTTCGGGGCGGATCTATTCTGGAAGGTGTTCGGGGGAGCCGAATCACTACTGCCTGTTGTTATGTCTTTGTCCACCTACAGCAAAACACTCGCAAATTCCACCCCCAACTAGGTTCAACGATAGCACAGTATTCATATAAAACTAAATTCCTATTTTATATAATTTTCTTCTGGCCTGGGTCTTTCTCTGGCGTTCACGCACGGTCATTGTTAAGGAAGTGCGTAGTGTCTAGTCCCTGGCTGGGGTAGCGGCGGAAGGATATGCCAGCTGGGGTATAAATAACCGAGCCCTTTGTTCACACCAGACATTTTGTGTGTTTACACGGAAGAGCGAGGAGTAAAATTCCAGTGCAAGGCAAAGCCAACAACTATATGTAAGTATTGTTTACGTGGGTGTTATATTTTGAGGTTTCTGTATTTTTCCTAGCGTAAACGATAGCCTTTATTACAGATCTCCGGCCAGAGACCGTTAAAAAGGCCGCCCAAATAAGTTTTTTTCTGTTACTAGTCTGTGTTGGATCTATTTGATTCTGAACATTTTAACTGGGGAGGCTATCAAAAGGCGGGAGAAAAAAGGCTGCGGACGGAAGAGCTCAGGTTTATATCGGTAGGTTGTCGTTATGTTAATTCGCGATGACAGGGAAATAAGGGAGTCGAGTGGCTTAGAGGAAAGGCGTCTGTTGCCGGCCGGTTTTGTAAGCGATTTCGCCGGGCTCAGTCGTTGCCGTTTCCAAAATGGAGGCTGCGCGAGAGGCTCGCTGTAATGGCAGCTGGTGACGGGTGAGTCAGGCTTCCTGTCCGCGGGGACAGGAGCGCGGCGATGACGTCTCACCACAGTTGCCTGGCAACGACCTTGAGATCGACCGTACACCGAGGTGATGAGAGGATCATGAGCAATAATCGTAATTTATCGGGGGTGTTGGATTGGACTTTTTTTTTTGGTTTGGGGGAGAGAATCATTAGACTTCGTATGATAAGTGACTCTTAAGAATAAGAATGTAGTAAGTGCAGTACTTAAATTCAAAAGCGCTTCACGATAGTTAATAAATCTCTCAAGCGCTGCAGATATTGGGGTTCTCTGTGGTTATTAACGTAGGTTGAGTAGTATTTATTGTGGGGGGGAAATAATGCCCCTACTAGTGAATAGTAAACACGATTATGGTGCTTAAGTATCAATTCAATTCAACTTTGTCATTATACTTACACGGTGCATAGTATAATGAAAAGTTTCTCACTAGTCACTCAGGTGCAGTATATAAATAGGACAGAAGATAAGACAATAGACAGTAAAACAATAGCAATAACAGTAACGTGTAATAACATAAATAATGTAATCAAAGCTGTGCAAACTTCCACAGAGAAAATATAACAGGGCAAAACAGTGCAAGGTAATTCTTGAAATTGCAAAATAGTATGGTTAATAAATATTAAATACTACAACCAGTACAGTTTTACTGGGCTATCGAGGGGACAGTACAATTTTGGCTTATGTGTGTGTGTGTAGTGGTGTAGGAGTACAGTCATTGTGGGTACAGGAAGACCCACAATGTGGTATGCACTTTCAGTCTGAGTGACTGTGTGCTTGATGTTTTAACTTTAGACTTCTATTTTCTCATAGTGCAACCATGCAGATCTTCGTGAAGACCCTGACTGGCAAGACCATCACCCTGGAGGTTGAGCCCAGTGACACCATTGAGAACGTGAAGGCAAAGATCCAGGA